GAGAAAAGAAAAGGATCGAGGAGAAATAGAGACAGAAAAATGGGAGGGAGAGAGAAAAGAAAAAGAAAGGGAGAGACAACGAAAGAGAGAAGGAGGAAGGAAAGACAACAAGGCAAAGAAAAAGGGGAGAGGGAGAAAGAAAAAAGGGAGGAATGGAGGAGAAATAGAGACAGAGAAGAAGAGAAAGGAAAAAAAAGTGAGAAAGAGAGGGAGGGACAAAGAGAGGAAGGAAGGAAAAGAAGAGAAAAGGGAAGGATAGAGGAGAAATAGAGACAGGAAAAAAAGGGAGAAAAAGAAAGTGAGTGAAAGAAAGGAAGGAGGGAAGACAACTAGAGACGGAGAAAAAGAAGAGAGAGAAAAGAGAACGAGGGAAGCAGGAGAAACAGAGACAGAGAAAAAGAAAAAAAAGAAAGGGAGAATAGGAAAGGGAGGGAGGGGGAAGGAAGAAGAGATGGGAAGAAGAGAGGGAAGGAGGGAGAAAGGAAGGAAGAAATGGTTATATGTTATTTATGCTGTATTGTATTTTTGTTACGGTTAGCACCAGCAGGAGCAAAATCAATTTTGTTGTATGTATGTACAACAACTATAAAGGTGGTTGTGATGAAGAAGAAGATGATGATGATAGGAAGGAAAGAAAAGAAGGAAGGAAGGAAGGAAGGAAGGAAGGAAGACCAAACGCCCATCATATTGGCAACTCCTGGGTGGGGTGGGGGGGCTTATTCTAAGGGCCAGGTGCAAAACTAGAACTCTAAAGCTCCAGGTTCAAATCCCACCTTCTAAGGGCCAGGTGCAGAACTAGAACTCTAAAGCTCCAGGTTCAAATCCCACCTTCTAAGGGCCAGGTGCAGAACTAGAACTCTAAAGCTCCAGGTTCAAATCCCACCAAGCTCCTTGGGGTGTGGAGGAGCAGCTAGGACTGAGCCAGTTCTTCTCTTCCCGCGGCACTCCCACCCACCCACCCCCGTCCACGCCCACCCCCCTCGCTGCAAGGCTGCCTTTTCGGGAACCTGGAAGCCGCAAGGCTACCCTCCTTCTCTGCCGCCCGCCCCGCAAGCCGCCAAGAGCACCCCGGAGCATGCACAGAGAGCGCGCGCGCGCGCCTTCCTTCCTTCCTTCTCCTCCTCCTCCTCTTCCTCCCTCGCTCACCCCTTTGCGCTGGTTGCTCAGGCAGAAGGTGCAGATGCTCCTGGGCGGCCCGGACGTCCCTCCCTCGCCCGGCTTGGCCCCGCAGAGGGCGCGGAAGCAAGGCTGCCCGTCCTGGCAACCCTCGCCCAGGAGCAGCACGTTGGCCAGGTGGGAGATGTAGCTGGAAGCCAGGCGGAGCGTCTCGATCTTGGAGAGCTTGCGGTCCACGGGCTCGGTGGGGATGAGGGTGCGCAGGGCGGTGAAAGCCGTGTTGACGCTCTGCGTCCGGTCCCGCTCGCGGGCGTTGGCCGCCTGCCGCTGTTGCTTGACCACCACCACCGGCCCGTGCCCGGTCGGCCGGCCGGCCTGACGACGGCTCTCGCAGCAGCCGTACGAGCGCTCCTCCGAAGCGTCGCTCCCGCTCCGGGTCTCCTCTTCCTCCTCTTCTTCCTCCTCGTCCTCCTCGGACAGCAGGCTCAGCTCCGGGTACAGCACGTGGGCGGCCACCGGGCCCAGCACGGTGAAAGCCATGGCGGGAGCTCGGATCCTCTCTCTCTCTCCCCCAACCCCGGCGAGAGAAGGGGCGTCGGGGAACCCGCCGAAGAAGCGAAGCGCGGCAGGGACGGAGCGGACGGACAAACCACCCGACGCTCCGCACGCGGAGCCAGCTGTGCGCGAAACCGCGGGGTCCCCCTCGCTATTTAAAGCCAGGGGCGGAGTCAAGGAGCCCGCCCCCCCCCCCTCTATCTCCCCAAAGAATCCCAACCGGCCAATGGGAGGCTCCGGCATCCTTCCCGCCTGGCCAATAAGGAAGCCGCCGATGCTGCCGGGCTCGGACAATTGAAAAAAAAAAAAAAAACCTCGCTGCGGGAGGAGGACGGGGGGGGGCGGCTTGCGCACGTGGCGCGGGTGGCTTTTGACAGGGCGCCCCCGGGCGAGACGCCTCGTAGGGGATACAGATTTCACAAGAGCGGGGGGAGGGTTCCTTGGAGGTCATCTAGTCCAACCCCCGCCCCGCCCAAGCAGGAGACCTTACATACACCATTTCTGACAGAGGATGAAGCTCTCACGACTTATCTATTCC